AGTAGTGACAGAGGTGGGCGAACGGACTCCCAGATGTTGCTTGGTAGGAATCCTGGGTAGTGGCGGAACACTTGTGGGTGCGACGATCATACAGTTGAAGCTTATAGGAGGTTCGTTGGGGAAAACCTTCCCTCTTCTTTGTAACCCTCTTGACAGTTTGTGTATCATATTCACCCTTTCTTAAAATCTGAGCTTTTATCTGGTGTGACACGGCACACCCCATCCTCTTCAATATCTCAGCAACTGAACAATTTTCCTTCCTTGCTAGTCGCTTGAACATGACTTGTACTCGGGCTAGCGGTGTAGCGCTCACCTTCCTCCTTTGACGCTCATAGTGGAAGGGCAGAGGCGGTGTAGCGACAATCCTGGATTCATCTTCTTCGTCGAGGCGGTGGACAAGAGATGAAACCTACTCCCCCCCAACAGGGGTGAGGTTTCGAGTTGTCCAGCCTCTTCCTCTCCAACAGGAGTATTAGCGAGAACAGTGAACTCAACAGCGTTTGCCTCCTAACCTTGGCTACCTTTCTGTTTCTGTTTCTTCTGTGTCCGAGTCAAAGGCGCAAATTTCGAACTGGAACCAATCTAAAGACAGAGGGGATCGGAGCAAAATTCAAGCTCTCCCTGGCAACGAGCTCACGAAAAACCTTTCCTTTTGCTGCAGGGGCAGCAACAGTGGGTACAGAGACAATCAGACCAGCAGGGGCAACAACAGTGGTCCTGGGTGTAGCCTCAACGATCCTAGCGGAGGACTTCACAACAATGCTAGAACTCCTCTCAACTAACTCCCTCTTTAGTGGGGGGAACTCTTCAGCAGACCTCAAGTTAAACTCGACAACTGACTCAACAGTTCTGTCTGCTTTAGTTCTATCCGCTTCGGGCTTTAGCACATCGATCTTGACTTTGGCATTGTCGAATCCTTGCCCAAATTTAATAACCGCGACATCAGACAGCTCATCTTTCTTAACGACGAAATCAATTCGAGCGGCGAAAGAGAAGATTAGCTTGGGTGTAAACATTTTCTCTGTAGGTAGAAAAAAGTTCAGCACATTAACATCATTCGATACTTCACTATAATAATTGCAGCACGAATATCGAAGCTTAACGAGCATACCTGGCAAATTGGGTGTTTCTTTTTTTTGAAACTTATCCAAATGATTATTATTATTATTTATTCAAATTTTATTTTGTTTTATTTTAATTTTGTTTTAATTTAAGAAAAGAATTTGAAAATGACAGATTTCAAATCGTTTTGCAGCGAATATGAAGCATTAGACACAATCCTAAAATTGGAGAGAGGTGATCCTACAACAAACTTATTTTGGTCAACACCGCTCGTTGCTCCTAATCCACCACATATATTGGGGATCCAACCTACTTTAGACCCATTCATAAGGTTTGGAGATTCCAGAACCTCTCTATTTAAGGGTGATTAAACAGATGACTCTAAAATCCAAAAAAGGTTGGCTATACCTGCTCAAGGAAGAAATGAGCGAGGCATGCCAATGGAAGAATAATATTCTGGCTCACTGTTTGAAAATAAAACCACCTGATCAATTGGAGAGATGAACTATTCCTCAGCGGATTCACCAGAATTTGTCGGCCAAATAAAGAGTTGTGAAATATTTATTTATGATTTAATTTAATTTAATTTAATTTATATATATATATATATGTGTGTGTGTGATTATAATTTTATAAAATATTATTTTAACTTTGGAAAATATTGTTTCAATTTAATTTATAAATATGAGTATAATTTTGGAAAATAATAATATTTTAACTTAGAAAAGTGAGACCGAATGGACCTCACATATTTGATAGTCTAGATGGTTGAGCATGATACCACAAATAGTACACTATCCGGGATGATAAATATATTATTTGTTAGCAGACTTAACCACCTAAACTAAAGAGTTTTTGACATTCGTTTGGTCAGCAAAATTTTTTTTCTATAAGCTGGCAAGTTTCCCTATTTAATACAGGAGATTAAACAGAGTTTATATTAAGTTAGGTTCTTAAGTTTCCTATAGAGACAAACTCCTATAGTTAATTATATCTTAGGCAATTGAAATTATCTAAGAAGACTCTCGATTAAGATTAGTGGTTTTGTCTTCAAGATTTCAAAGTTTGGGTTTTTAAGGTTTGACATTGGAAAATCAAAAGTGAATGACTCAAAATAAGAATAGTTATGTTTTCAGGTTTCAAAAGGATGAAAGATTGGGGATGTCACAGATCCGAGGAACACCTAGGTGACTTCTCAACTATTCTATTATTTGGCTTAATGTCTTTGAAATGATATTATTTAGTGTTTCAATTCTGTCGATTTATGTATTTTACGCTTGTGCGTGAAAGTATATCAAAATGAGTGTCCCTCCTAGCTAAATTCGACGTCCCGGACGCACTGGCATGGTCTGTTTCATCATCCGGGGTCGTCCAGACAACTTCGTCGACGGTCGGGTCGAAGACGCATAAAATTCAATTTTCTTTAAATTTTATTCCGTGATCGATTATTCCAGCAATGGATTCAAGCTTGATCAATCGTGAAGCTTTCTACAGGTGCAGATGACGTGAATTTCGACATTTATGTGCAATGAGCGCGCGAATCGTGATATTCACGCATCGTGAGAGTGCGCAGAAGTCACGATGGGTTTTTTATGGGTTTAGATCCTAAGGATACTCGACTTGAGTTTCGTTACGTTAGTTTTAATCGACTCAACCAAATGTTGAGGATTTAAAACCACCCATATGAAACTGCAAGGAGTCAAGAAGTGACTCAAATTTTTACTTTGTGCGGGTCCCAAACTAGTCCTCTAAGAGAGTCCAATAGGAAGTCTTAATTCTGCTCCAAGAAGAAGAAGAGACGTCACCAAAAATACTCTTTCCTTTAGTGGACTAGAATCAATATCATTAATCAATGCCAAAATCACCTAACTTTGTTCTTGCGATTCCTTCTCAAGTAGACAAACCTTTTCTCCCCAAGGAGAGTGACGTCATGCTCGTCTTCCTTGCTGACCTGCAGATTGTGATGCTCTCTCGATAAACAGTTTCTTCATTCAAATCTAGGAGTTTCAACTATCGATGAAGTTGAAGAAGCAAATGCTCGGTTCGTGTTTGGATAACTCTAATCCCATTAACCATACTGTTCATTTTGATTTAATGTTTTCCTTCTCACGATAGTGGTTCGCTCACCTTCATTTGAGAAGTATTAATTCCTTTGTAAACTTAAAGCGACAATTTGGGACTCAGTTTATTAGTTTTTAAAATTTTTTAGGAACCTTTCGGCTCTTTTGAGCATGTGATAGCTTTGTATCAGTCTGACATTGCATCATTCATTTTCAGTGGAGATGATGGATATGCAAGAATGAAAACACAATGTTGCACAAGTGACGGTTACCAAAGGCCTCTATGATGGCCAATTTCATCATTCTCATGGCTTGCATGTTCAAAGACATGACCATGTTGTTGAAGTTGATCTGTAATCACATTAACTTACATCACCTTTGATGTTTTTATACCAAGTCTTTGAATGATTCGTAACGACATTTTTGTGATCAATAGAATAAGTCATGTTGAAACTAAAATTAGTTAGCTGAGAAGCTACATTAGGCATAACATAGGATTTTTTTTTCTTTTTTTCTTTTGTAAGGAAGCCTGAGAAGGAGTTGATATCCCATGATCCCATCAGATTAGAGAGGTAGTTTCATCATCATGGGTACCCGAACTTTGCTCATTCATGCAAAGAACTGCCTTCCCTGACAACTGTTTATGTGCACTATGTTGACTACTGGTGATCATCTAAATACCATCTTCCATAAAAATTATGCTCACAATACAGAGGATTATCATTTCCTTCACAACCTTATTGGGGAATTGATTCATAATGATAGTTGAAAGACTTCATCCTTGCTGACCTTTGGTGACATCTTGAGAAAGTTTCAACGGAGGAAAATAAAAGCTACCTCGTTCCAACACTGGAAAGTCATGTTGCTGTCTTGATAATTCTTAAAAGTGCCAAGCCTAAGGTGTCATCATTTTATGTTGACTGTAACTCGTCATTTGTCATAGTGTCAATTACCTTTTTGGTGCCGATTGTCTGAGATTTGAGAATCCTTACAATGAACTATCATCGTCACTACCAAGTCGATATAGAGAGTTTTATGAACATCAACTTTGAATAAATTTTATATCAAATAACATGATTCCTCTTAGTTGATGTTCGCTATTCGGTATCTTGTGATTACTTTGAATAAATTTTATATCAAATAACATGATTCCTGTGATTTTTTTTGGTGAATATAAAAGGATTGAAGGCCATTTGACACTACCAATCACTTGGGAGGTTTGCAACCTTCAATAGACTAAAATGTACATCCTCGTCAGAATCAATGCTCCACTTTATGCACCACCTACCACTTTTGGCAGATCACTGCTGAGCATATAAAGAGTTATGATCTAGTGTTATTATATTATAGTGAAGCTTCTAGCATGTGGTTGAATTTTTTTATTATATTATAGTGAAGCTTCTAGCATGTGGTTGAATTTTTTTTTTTTTTTTTTTTTTGGAAATTTGCTGTAATCTCATGCGTCTTATTCAAAAGCATTTGGATCTGTTCAATAAGTTTATAATTCAATGTTCATACATAGCACGTAATTCCTTTGTATTTACATATTTAACACCTAAACTTTAATTTTTACGTATGTGCCACCTTACCTATGCATGAGAAGGCATATTTCACTTCTTTAAAACTACAATAGTGATATTTTTTATGTGATGTGAAGGATTTGGGTGGTATAAATGTAAAAAGTAAAGTTTAGGTGTTAGATATGCAAGCACATAGGAATTGGGTAGTATGTATGTAAATGCTGCATTAAATTTATGGAATACTAAGAACATTGATTGTTTCATTTATGTCTCATACTTCATTTATTTATTTTTATTGTTTTCTTGTGTTTTCATCTTTTAACAAAAGCATGCCATTCTAACTTACGTGGTATTACAGGAGATGACTGCATCTCTATTGTAGGAAACTCTTCTAGCATCCTAATAAAGAACATCGTATGTGGACCAGGCCATGGTATAAGGTAAAATGGCATTTACATATATTCCACCCGGTTCCTATTTATTTACAGATCTAACAACTAAACTCATTTTTTACATTTATTCCTCCCAAATCATTCATATCACATAAAAAATACTACCATTTAGACTTTTAAAAAGTGAAATACACCTTTTTCATGCATAGATAATTTGGCATGTATGTAAAAATTGAAGTTTAGTTCTGAGATGTGTAAATACATAGGAATTGAGTGGCACGTATGTAAATATTCCGAAGGTAATTTATTCCTGTCATAATAAGTTTCTACTATTGCAAATATTGAACCAATATTTCCCTCTTCATTGTTAACCTGCTTTGCATTAGCATTGGAAGCCTGGGCAAAAATAAGTCAAATGACCAACTGCAAAATGTACTTGTTGATGAAGCCTATATTTCAAACACTGAGAACGGTGTTCGGATCAAAACCTGGCAGGTCTGTCAAAAAGTTTTAAATCAATATTTATTTATTTATTTATTTATTTTGTCAACATACAATTTTTGAATGTTTACATGCTCAGGGGGGTGAGGGCTTTGCTCAAAGCATAGCGTTTCGCAACATCTTGATGAGAAATGTTTCGAATCCGATAATCATTGATCAGTTCTACTGTGATTCAGCACAACCCTGCCATAACCAGGTAGCTTAGTTTGAAAAAACATTCGGTAGGACTTGAACTATAATTAGAATGAGTGATATGAAAGAGAGAATGACGGGATGCAATTAGGTAGATGTGTTGAGACATTCAAAATTTCTTTAGCTATACTCCAAAATCTGCTATTTGCAATGCCTGCATATTGTTTGAATGAAAATTGGATGAGAATATCCCAGCTAAAATTTAGTCAAGATGGGTTTTAAAATGAGAAAAGCGGAGGACTATTTTAGCTCCCATTAAAAGAGTATGGGGACAATTTTGACACTTTTATAAATTTTGGGACTAAAATGATCGCATGGAAATAGTCCGAGGACTGTTTTGACACTTGGCTTATTTCAAAATCATTTATTTTGCTTTGAAATGAGTGCAATCATTCATCTCAAAACAAATCCAAACATTTTCAAACACATGTTTAACCAAATTCTCATCATAATTTGCTCACACAAATTTCTTCCATAATATTTAACCATTAGTTAAAAAATTCTATTTGTATGCAGACATCAGCAGTGAAAGTTGGTCAGATTTCATTCATTAATATCAAAGGAACTTCAGCAACAGAAGATGCAGTGAAATTTGCTTGCAGTGATAGTTTCCCATGTGAGAAGATTTTTCTCAAAGATATTGAGCTTTCCCTTTATTCTGGAGGGGAGACAGCTGCTTCTTGTTGGAAGGCATCAGGTTACAGTTCTGGAGCTGTTCATCCCCCTTCTTGTCTTTCCAGTGAAGATTTACTTATCAAACAAAGTGTTCTATCTCTGTCTCCCTTATATTCCTCTATATATTTATATTTATGGGTAGCATGTAATTGACTCATTTTATTGAAGTATTTCATGTTTTTTTATTTATTATTTGCTATTTGAATTCCTGTAATTTCATTTATTAAAACTTTTTAGATCATCTCTCTGAAATGCGGCATTTACATACATACCACCCAACTCTTATGTATTTACATATCGTACTCCTAAACTTTACTTTTACATTTATACCACCCAAATCTTTCAAATCACATAAAAATACCGTTTACATTTATACCACTCAAATCTTTCAAATCACATAAAAATACCGCCATATCAACTTTTTAGAAACTGAAATGCACATTTTCATGCATAGTTAAGGTGGCATGTATGTAAAAATTAATGTTTGGGTGCTAGATATGTAAACACATAGGAATTGAGTTGTATGTATGTAAATCTTCTTAGGATATGCAAAGTCATTCAAAATATGTTAAAATGTTCAGTTCTTTTCATTTCAAGTTTTACTTTATGGCTCTGTAAAGTCAATTTAATGGTTATCCGATTGAACCATTAATTTATATAGTTTATTAGAATTTAACTTGATTTAATTATTTTCTTGGCCGACAGCTTTTAAAATTTAAGAAGATTAATTGAATTCATATTTAAATGATTTATTGAATATCAAAAATTATTTTTTAAAAAAAGATATTCAACATGAGTGGACGAGTTGTTTTGATAAATTTTTTAATGAAATTTTTAAAAATACGATCGATCTTAGTAGTCGTAAAATTGTTAATAATAAAAAAAATGTTTAATTTTTACTGTCACATAAGTAAAAATGTTGATGAGACTTTAAAGAAATCAAAGTGTGGAAAGATTGTAGGACTTGTTGATATTTCAATTGAAGGGTGAAAATATATAGGAGATTTGAGAGTTTTTTGGCTTATTAAACTCTTTAATAATATTTTAAAAACTAAAACGATGTCTGGGGAGTGGAGGAAGAGTATTTTGTTCTCAGAGAAATTAAGTTATTGTATCATACTTTAAAAATATGGGAGAGGGTAATTGAACACAAGTTAAGACGTATTACAAAGATTTTTAATAATCAATTTGGATTTATGACCGGTAGGTCTATCATGAAAGCCATACATTTACTAAGAGATTTGATGGAGAAGTTCAGAGAGAATAAGTTGAATTTGGATTTATGACCGGTAGGTCTATCATGAAAGCTATACATTTACTAAGAGATTTGATGGAGAAGTTCAAAGAGAATAAGTTGAATCTACATATGATTTTTATTGATTTAGAAAAAGCTTACAATAGTTCCAAGAGATATCCTTTAGAGAGTTCTAGAGAAGAAATGTGTTGATATGAACTATATTCAAGTCCTGAAAGATATTTATACTAGAGTTGTTACTTATGTTCGAACACAAGGAGGATTGACCAAATATTTTCCTATTTCAGTTGGATTATGTCAGGGATCGGCTTTAATCTGCCCATATCATTTTGCTTTAGTTATTGATGCTCTTAGTGGACATTTTTAAGAGGATGTACCTTGGTGTATGCTTTCCACTTATGATATCCTTCTCGTGGATAAGACTAGATAGAAAGCTCAGAAAAAACTTGAATTTTGCAGTATGCCTACATTGGAGTCTAAAGGCATTCGTTTAAGTAGAGCTAAAACTGAATACATGGAATGTAGCTTTAGTAGTAGTAGCTCTAGTGACAGAGTTGTAACTATGAGTGATCAAATTATTAAAAGGTGTGAATGCCTTAAATATCTTAGGTATATTGTTCAAAGTGATAGAGATATAGATGCGGATGTTATTAGTAGAAATGGCGGAATGCTTCGGGTCTATTGAGCAATAGACATGTACCAATTAGGCTGAAAAGAAAATTTTAAAAGATGGTGGTGAGACCTACAACACTTTATGTCGTTGAATGTTGGCCTTTAAAAGAGAAGCATAAAACTAAGTTAAGTGTTGTCGGGATGAGAATGCTTAGGTGGATGGCTGATTTTACACTTAGAGACAAAATGCGAAATGAATATGTCTATGATAGGGTTGTTGTAGCTCCGGTGGCAGGCAAAATTAGAGAGAGTTGTCTTATATGGTTTGGTCACATTAAATGTTGACCATTTGGTGATCAACTAGGAGAGTAGATGTTTTAAATTCGACTTTTGTTAAGAATGACAGAGGTAGACATAGAAAGACTTGGGCTTATTGTATAAAAAAAATGATCTTAATTTATTAGAATTAAATAAAAATATGACACTCAGTATGACGTAATGGAGAAAAATGACTCTTGTAGCCGACCCCACATAGTGGGATAAAGATTTGTTGTTGTTGTTGTTGTACTTAATTAAATCCTACTTGTAGCCTTACATCCCCTTAACCATTCCATGTTTCGATAGCATCCACTAATTCAAGTGAAAAATGAATCAACAATTTTGGTGCATGATGCTGGTGGATTTAGTGTGTTAGTTTTACAAATATTTGTCAATATTATAAAATACACACAACAGATACAACAAAAAAATATAAATGAAGCATGTGATAATGCGAAAATCTATAAAGAGAAAATGAAAATATGACATGATCGAAAGATTTTTAAGAAGAAATTTAAATCTGGACAAGAAGTTCTACTATAAAATATAAGATTAAGAATATTTTCAGGAAAACTAAAATCCAGATGGTTAGGACTATTAAAAGTGATTAAAGTCTATCATTAATGAATTGTTGTTATTAAAGATCCTAATACTGGAAAGATATTTAAAGTTAATGGACATCTTTTGAAACATTATTATGAATGACACATACCTCAATTTAAAAAAGTTTTAATATTAAGTCAACCCAACTAAAAAAATGGTATGTCGGGCTGACGACGTTAAACCAAGTGCTTTGTGGGAGGTAACTCATACTTATATAGCTATGTATTACTATTTAGTTTGTTAGGTGTCTTATATATTAGTAGATATGGAGGAAAATTTGGAATCGAATTGAATAAAAAATGAAAATCGCAATTTTGGCCATTGGCGCCGACGGCGCCCTAGATAACGGAAATTAGCGCCGGCAGAGCCAATCGGGAGCGCCGACGGCGCCGAGTGCAGTTGGACGGTTTTAAATGACCTTTTTAAATGACCTTTGGCGGGTTTTAGCGTGATTTCACTTCATAATAACTGATAGGACGAGTTTAAAAAGTCCTAGAAACATCCTTGGACGCCTAGTAACTTCCTATTTTTGGATTCCATGGCTTCCAATTCCAGAAATACTTTGAGGTATGGAGTTTTCAACAAAAGAACGTTTATTAATTTGAATGTGCAGTGATTATACGATAAAGATAATACGAAGAGGAGATTGATCAAGGAAAGATGATTTGTTAATCATGGAGTGATCATTCCTACTGGTCTGATTGATAAAATCATTCTGCAAAGGCGTTGGGAAGTTCTGTGTTACACTACATCTGCAATTGTCGCACTTGTGGTGAAAGAGTTTTATGCAAACTTACATGGAATTACTTAAGGTGTTGTCTTCGTATGAGGTAAGGCTGTACCATTTACTCCTACAAGGATTAATGAATTGTATATGGTAGATAACATTCCAATCTGTCATTATACAAATTTCATTTCTACATGAAATTTGATGCAAGATGTGTATAATCTTCTGACGGATAAAAGTGATATGTGGGAGATACGAGATGAAGGATATGCTAGTTTCTCAACTTCATTACTTAATCCCATTTCGAAGCAATGGCATTTCTTTTTGACATTTCTTTATTGCTGCAAAATTACTCCCTACTATGAAAATTAATAGAGTCACCAATGAATGTGCTATTTTAAATTACTGCATTCAAATGGAAAAACCCATTGATATAGGGTATATTACATTTAAATATATTATGAGTATCCCTAATAATGGACCAATTTATGGACTTCGGCATCCATGTACCATCTTTTTGATTTGCAGTCATACATCTTTTTGATTTGCAGTCAAGCCCAAGTGCTATATGAAAGTTGGGAAAAGACTTTATTACCTTGGGAGCCCATGAATCCTGTAGATGAAAATTATTGTGGAAATGGAAATGAAGAATTAGAAGCCATCATAGATCAGTCTTTACATAGTTCAACTCCATTAATACCACCAATAGTTGAAAGTTCGCTTGCTTTGGAAAAGAAATTGAAGAAAATTGAAAGGGAGCTGAAAGGGAGATTGAAAGGGAGCTTCAGAGTATTATGAATGCAGTAGAAGATCTTAAATACCTTTTTTATCACCTAGATTGGAGTATGAAAGAAAATTTTGATCACACTAGAACTTTTGAAGCAGGATTAGTTCGGATGTTTAAAGAAAATGGGTGATCGAAGAAAATTTTATAGATCAATTCCCGTATCGATCCTTCTGCAACTTATATGTTCATTACCAATCTATGGGAGATATCAGAGGAGGAGAATGCATCTGAAGAAGGGGCTTAATAATTGAAGACTTTAAATTCTCTATCTTTTTTAGAACATTATATATATTTAGTGTAATTTTGTGGATTTAATTTGGTTTAGTTTGTTTTTTTTTGCTTTAGAATTATGAACTTTTATTGTGTATATAGTTTTGTGACAGCATTTAGTATTGTGGCTTGATTTCGACGCTAATTTATAATTAGTTTGTTTAATACGTGCAATTGTGTAATTAAAAAAATGTGTTTGTAAGAAGTGTACTTTTGTTTGTAAAAAGTGTACTTTCATATATAAAAGTTAGTTTGTTGTTGTTTGTGAAAATTTGTGTTGGTGAAATGTTTTATTTTGTGAATTATTGTTAGATAAAAATTTGTGTTTAAAATAATAAAAATTTTGGAGTAAGTCGATAGGAAATTGAAAATTAAAAAAAAATCAAAATATAAAATTATCAGGCCTTTAGCGCCGACGGCGCTCTCGACTCGACAACAGATTTTAACTCTTAAAAATTCGCAATTTTTACTGTGGCGACCATTTTTACGCTTAAGTCATCTTCAACCTTTAGTTTGGGCGGCTAGGGCTTGATTGTGGTCACATTTGAGGCGATTTAGAGGCTAAAAGACTTCAGATTTCA